TCTAGAAGCCAGAAAAGGCAGAAAATGATTCTCCCTGGAGTCTTCAGAAGGAACCAGCCTGCCCATGCCTGGAATTTAACCCAATGAGACCCATTTCAGATTCCTGACCTCCAGAATGATGCAATAATAAATTTGTGTTGTTTTAAGCCATTACATTTGTGAAAAAGTGTTACAGCTGCCCTAGGAAACTAATACACATTCCCAGAAATTTCCTTCATGTCCCTTCCCAGCCAATTCCTGCCTGGAATTTAGTGAAGCCTCTAAATATTGTTGTTGTTGTTAATCCTCACCCAAGGATATTTTTCCTGTTAATTTTTAGATAGGGTGGAAGGGAGAAAGGGGAAGATAGAAACATTGATGTGAGACACACAGAGACTGGTTGCCTCTCACATGACCCTGACTGAAGCTAGGGATCAAACCTGCAACCCAGGTATGTGCCCTTGAGTGGGAATCGAACCCACAACCCTTTGGTCTACAGGCCAACACTCTAACTGCTGAGTCAAACTGACCAGGGCAAAGCTTCTAAATCTTTTTTTTTTTTCCCTTCATTAATTAGAGAGAGAGAGGAAGTGAGAGGGAGAGAGAGAAATAGAAACATCGATGAAAAAGAACATCGATTGCCTGCCTCTTGCCCGCCCCCCACTGGGGATCAGGCCCACAACTTGGGCATGTGTCTTGACCTGGAATCAAACCGGCGACCTCTTGGTGCATGGGTCGACACTCAACCACTGAGCCACACCAGTCGGACAAAGCTTCTAAATCTTTATATGTGTTCACAGATAACCGAAAATACTCACCAGGCAACTGTTTATATACATAACCACATAGCATCAGGGATTATTATAAGGGAGGCAAAAAAAAGTCACTTTCCTGTCTGTCATTAGCAAGAGGTGTTCAAAGAGGCTGCCAGGGCCCACCTGGTGTGACTCAGTGGCTGAGCATCAACCTGTGCACCAAGAGGGGCCAATTGATGTTCCCTCTCATTGATGTTTCTATCTCTCTCTCTCTAAAATCAATAAAGAAAGAAAAATTAAAAAACAAAACACAAAGAGACTTCCAGGGCCACCTGCATCAGTTACATGCTTTTAGCCACAAGTAACAGAAAACCTGACTCTACTTGTTTAACTACATAAAGAGGTTTATTAGCTCAGAGAACAAACAGCCCCAAGCAAGGCAGCCTCCAGGCTCAGGATGGTCAGGACAGTTCAGCAATGTCATTTCAGACGCAGATTCTTCCCATTTCCCTATTCTGCCATTCTGGAGGTTAGTCTGCAGAAACTTTTCCCAGAATCCAGCACTGGTCACATGCCCAGTACGTAGGTCGATTCAGCTAGCCAGTCATTCATGCCATGATAAGCTGCTCTAATCTTAGCTCTTAATTTTCAACCAGAAGTTATTTTAGATACTGTTGATATTACTATTATGGACTGAATTTATATTTTATGTCGACAGATAAAACGAATAAAAAATTACACAGATTGGCCCTGGTCAGGTAGCCCAGTTGGTTGGAGCGTCGTCCCATACACTGAAAAGTCGTGGGTTCGATTTCTGGTCAGGGCACATATCCAGGTTGCAGGTTTGATCCCCTGTTGGGGTGCATACAGGAGTCAGTCAATCAATGTTTCTCTCTCACATCAGTATTCCTCTCTCTCTAAAATAAATACATTAAAAAAAAAGAAATTACACAAGTTATAATCAGGATCTTAAGAAACGTATATGGTTCACCAAATGATGAAAGAAAAGAGTAAAATCATTTCTAGACCAAGGGTCTGCAAATATTTTCTGTCAAGGGCCACAAAGTAAATATATTTGGCTTTGCATGCCATATGGTCTCTGAGGCAACTACTGACATTTTTTTTCCTGGAAGCCAGAAAGCAGGTAGACAGCAAGCAAATGAATGGGCATGGCTATGTGACAATAAAATTTTATTTAAAATAACAGGTCATGGCCCGGCCGGTGTGGCTCAGTGGTTGAGTGTTGAGCCATGCACCAATAGGTCGCCATTTCGATTCCCGGTCAGGGCACATGCCCAGGTTGTGGGCCAGATCTCCAGTGTGGAGCATGCAGGAAGTGGCCAATCGATATTCTCTCTCATTGATGTTTCTATCTCTCTCTCCCTCTAACTTCCTCTCTCTCTAAAATCAGTAAAGAAAAAAAAAAAAAACAGGTCATGAGCCAGCTTCAGGTGTAGTTGCTAAGGACACCTGTTAAAGAGTATTATTAGAGTTAAACTGTAAATAGCAATATGAACTCACGGTCTTTAAAACTTATCAGTTCTACCTGAGCACTGAAGTATCCTTTAATCAGTTTTCCACCAAAAATTTGTGTGCAGCCCTGGCTGGTGTGGCTCAGTTGGTTAAGTGTTATTCCCTGCACCAGTTTAGTTCCTGATCAGGGCTAAGTGACACCAGGTTAAGTGTCATTCCCTGGTTCAGTTCCTAGTCAGGGCACATGCCTGGGTTGCAGGCTCCATCCTGGGTGGGGGGCATACAGGAAGCAGCCAATCGATGTTTCTCTCTCTCAAATCAATAAAACCATATTTAGAAAAAAAAATATGTCCAATAATTGTAGAGGACTCTTTAATATTGAAAATGCAGTCATCAATACTCTTTCCCACCCCAAGGAATGAAGGCTCTTTGGAGAATAGCTGCTATTATGTTTCTGGGCAAAGAAAGTACAATATGGGCTGGAATATCTAGTTGCCAGCAAGCAAGGATGCTTCTTCAAGTTCTGGGGAGTGCTGAAGGCACACAGGAGTCCAGCTAAAGGTATCCTTCATCAATAACAATTACAGGTATTTAAAATGACTAGAGCCCTGGCCAGGTGACTCAGTTGGTTGGAGTGTCATCCCATATACCAAAGAGCTTCGAGTTGGATTCCTGATCAGAGTATATACCTAGGTTGTGGGTTCGATCCCCAGTCGGGACTTTTACAGGAGGCAACCAATGTTACTCTCTTGCATTGATGTTTCTTTCTCTCCCCATCTCACCCTTCCTCTCTCTGTAAAAATCAATTAAAAAAATATATATCTTCCTTGCCCTGGCCGGTTTGGCTCAGTGGTAAAGCATCAGCCCGCAGACAAATGAGTCGTGGGTTGGATTCTGGCCAAGGGCACATACCTCGGTTGTGGTTCATCCCTGGCCCTGGTCTGGGCCGTGCGAGAGGCAACCAGTGGATGTGTCCCTCTAACGTCGATGTTTCTCTCTCTCCCTTTCTCTCTCTCCCACTCTATCTGAAGATAAATAGACAAATATCCTCGGGTGAGGATTAAATAATAATAATAATAATAATGATAATAATAATAAATATCCTCAGATGAGAATTAAAAAAAAAGACTTGAATTTGAATGCCATGAATCCATAATTATCCTCTAAAAGTAAGAATCAGGATTTTCATTCTTTTTTTTATCCTCACCAGAGGACATTTTTCCTTTTTTTTGTTCAGATAGAGTGGGAGGGAGAGGAAGAGAGAGAGAAACATTGACATGAAAGGGACACATCAAGTGGCTACCACCCGCACAACCCAACCAAGGCCGGGGACAAACTGCGACCAAGGTACATGACCTTAGCGGGAACCGAACCTGGATTTCTCTGGACTACAGGCCAATGCTCTAACCGCTGAACCAAACAGGCCAGGATCTTTCTTTCTTTCTTTCTTTCTTTCTTTCTTTCTTTCTTTCTTTCTTTCTTTCATGTTTTTATTGATTTTTTTTTTTTAGAGAGAGAGGAAGGGAGAGAGAGAAACATCCCTGTGAGAGAAAAACATAGATCGGCTGCCTCCTGCATGCCCCCTACTGGGGATAGAGCCTGCAACCTGGCATGTGCCCTGAAGAGGAATCAAACCAGCGACCTCTTCGTGCATAGGCTGATGCTCAATCCACTAAACCACACCGGCTGGGCATATATGTTTATTCTTTATCAAGTCACAAGTAGTATATCCACATCTGATTTTATTTGGATGAACCATTTTTCAGCATCCCCACATAAAAAGGCTGATATCCCCTAACCAAATGATATCTATCTATTCAGGGTGATTCCAACTATATAAAAAGATTCTACTCTGTAAAACACAAAACAAAACAAACATAAAAAAAAAAAAAAAAGACACATGCTAGCTGTTTATGCATAATAGAATGATAGATTTTCTTCCCTATATTTTTCTGGCATTTGCAAGTTCTCACCTTTATTTTTCATACATATATTGCATGAGGTGAGGCTGCAAGGAGTTCAGCTAGGAGGGCTGTAGGATCCATAGGGACCTGGCCCAGAGTAACCGCCTTGCATATCTGTTGTGTCTTGGATGCACAGAGCATCTTCCACATAATACAGCAGCAGTCACCCCCACCTCCTCACCTCAGTTTGCCCCTCTGTACAGTAGGGGTCCCTCCAGGGGGCAGACAGATTACCCAGGGCTGAGGGCTGGGGTCTGAGATCCCAGGTCTGGGGTATGGATTCTGGGGTCCAAGCTCTGAGGTTGGGTCTGAATTTGGGATTTGGGGACCTGGACCAGAGATCGGGATCAGGGGTTCAGGAACTGGGTTCAGTGTCTCGAACTGGGATCTGATATTTGAGATCTCGAGTCTGGGGTCCGGAGTTTGGGATCTGGAGCAAGTGGGCCGAGGTCTGAGGTCTGGGATATAGGATCTGGGGCATGGGGGCTGGGGTTTAGTCTAGGATCCCAGGTCTGACGTCCAGGATTCGGGGTCCTCGTCGCAGTCTGAGGTCGAGGGTCTAAGGCATGGGATCTAGAAAACGGGGTCCGAGTAGGAGGTGAAAGGTCTAGAATTCGGGGTGTGGGTCTGAAGTAGGAGATCAAGCGTGTGGGGTCCCAGATATGAGGTCCCAAATCTGGACGGGCCACCCTCCCCCCGCCCCTGCCGCGCTCTCCCTCCCTCTCCTCTCTTTCTTCACCTCCCCCTCCCTCCGCCCCTCGCCCCTCCCCGCCCCCTCCCTGCGCCCGCCCCGCCAGACTGGCCAGCCCCGCCCGCCCCGCGGCGCCGCACCGACAAGATGGCGGCGGGTGGGAGCGGCGGCCGCGCGTCGTGCCCGCCGGGTGTCGGTGCGGGCGCGGGGGGCGGCCTGGGCCCCAGCGCCAACGCCGCCCCCGCCCCCGGCAACGCGGCCGCCGCCGCCGCCTCGGTCCCCGCTGCTCCCGGGGCGTCCCCTCCGGGCTCGGGGCCGGGCGCGCAGGCCGCGGCGGGCGGGGAGCGGGCGGCCGAGGAGCCGGGGGCGGCGGCGCTGCTGCGCGAGCCCGTGTACAACTGGCAGGCCACCAAGCCCACGGTGCAGGAGCGCTTCGCCTTCCTCTTCAACAACGAGGTGCTGTGCGACGTGCACTTCCTGGTGGGCAAGGGGCTCGGCGCGCAGCGCATCCCGGCGCACAGGTGGGCCGCGCCGCTCCGGGACCCGGACCCCGGGACCCCGGACCCCTCATCCCCGGACCCCGGGACCTGCCATCTCCGGAACCCGTCATTCCCAGGACCCCACCATCCCCGTATCCGCTACCCCTGAGACTCACCATTATTATTTGCAGGACACCCGGACAGCCCATCCCCAGGCCCTGCCATCCCAGGATCCGCCATAGCCGGGACCTTCCAAGATCCCCCTCCAGGACCCCTAAGTCCCACCTTCCAGGCCCCCATTATCCGCCAGGATCCCTCCCAACCACCTTCCCAGGCCCCATCAGTCCTGAGCCTTGTGATCCTGCCAGACCCCCATCAACCCCGCAGCCGCCAGATACTAGCTATTCCCCGGTCCTAGGACCCCCGTCTCTCCACCTTCATAAGAGATTCCTGGTCCTGTGATCCCCCACAACCCTGCCACCCTGGCCAGGATTTCCAGCCCTGTGACCCCCACCAGCTCCCTCCACTCCTGGGCCCTACCATCCTGCCCCACTGACCTCCTCCACGCAGTGCCCCATCCTCTTGCAGCTGTGACCCCCAGAACTCCACCACATTCCTTCCTCATAAACCCAGGACCCCCAGACTCCTGAGCACATAGCCCCTTCCAGTGACCCCCAGCTGTGACCCCTCAGCATCCTGATGCCCCCTAGTCCCTGACCCCTTCCAGCCCCTGACCCCAGTCCCTGAACTCCAGCCCCTTCACCCCCCTAGGCCTCCTCTCAGGAAAAGAGGTTGGTCCAGGCCCCATCCCTCTGCCAGTTTCCAGTGTGCAGCCCCCAGACTCCTGGGCTGGGTGGGCTGATGTCAGACAAAGTTCTGCCCACTGCTAGTCCCTCTGACCTGCTCCCCATTGCACCCCAGGGACCTCAGTGGGGAAGGCTCACTGGAGGGGGTGGGGGGGCTCCATCGGCTGATGTCAAAGTTCTGCCCACTGCTAGTCCCTCTGACCTGCTCCCCATTGCACCCCAGGGACCTCAGTGGGGAAGGCTCACTGGAGGGGGTGGGGGGGCTCCACCTGGTGAAGGGGGTTGGGGGCTTTCTTACCTCTCTGGCAGTGTTGCCTAGCTTGCTGTGAGGGTCCTACCACCTCTCTGACATGTGATGTTTAACCTGTGCCTTCCACAGTCTTTCTGGCTTCTTCTTGGTTATTTATGTATAATTGGGTCTGGATTCCTGTCCTTGGAAGGTTCCAGGCCTGTGGTTGGGTCTCCTGGCTCCTCCTTCCCTTGTGTGTATGTAGCTCTCTCCCCCTTCATCCATGTGGGCTGTCCTTCTAAGTGTGGGGAAGCTGGAGAGGCTAGTGGGATTGTCACCTATGAGTTCCTCTCAGATGCCTGGCCTTCCTCATCCCCGTCTTGCTCCTAAATACTGCTCAATCCAGTTCAGGCTCTCCTGCCCACCTGACCCCTGACTAGAGCCCTCTGGGGCAGGAGATGGGTAGGTCAATGCACGAACCCTGTGAGGGAACCTCAAGAGTTTTTGCTTGAGGGGAGCGAGGGAACTGGTGGGGGCCCCTACCACAGGTGCCAGTCGACCTAGGGACAGGTACTCAAGTTGTGCTTGAAGGTCTGTTGGCTGGTGGCAAAATGGGGACTAGAAAGGAGGGCATGAGGACCTCTGGAGAGAAGCAGGAGAGGAGCCTGGCCCTGCTAGGTGGCTAGTGTCCCTGGAACTTGGGCTCTGGTGAGAGATGGAAGTTAAGTGAAGTAGGACAGGCGTGACATTTAGTGAGAATTTCTGAGAGCAGGAGGGAGGCACAGGGCCCTGGAGGTGATGACAGGACTGACCTGCTCCAGGATGGACAATCCTGAGCAAGTGGTGCTGAGCCGGGTGGGTGGGAGGGTAGTGCAGGGCTCCCGACTCAGGCATATGAGACTGGAGACCAGAGGAGACAAAGCAAGGCCTAAGCAGAGGGAGTGAAAGGGGCAGTGCTTTGCAGGGTAGAATGGGCCATAAATAACACAGGAGTCTGTGGGCTTGGTGGGGACAGCAGAAATGGTATATAAAGGGTTCATCTTCTCTTTCTGGGAGGCACATTCCTATGATGTGCTGAGGAGGTGGCTTGGTAGTTGAGGAAGAGTAGGGGACCGTGGTGGGATTCCCTAGACTCTTGGCTTGAGCGTCCCATCCCAGGGGAAGACAGGCATAGAGGGACACATTTGATGGAGGGACTGAGATACCCCAGAGAGATGACCAGAGGCTATGTGACCAAAGGGGTGTGACTTTGGGGTCTGTGATTTGCAGGGGCCATAGTGATGGGAGTGGATGGATTGGCCAGGGGGCAGCATGTGGATGGAGCAGGAAGGGGCTCTTAGGAGTGGCAGCAAAGAGCCACCCTGAAAGTGGAGTGTAGGATGCAGGCTCTTCTGGCTGCATCCCAACCATCATCATCAAATTGACCCACACCCTGGACCTGTCACTCTCTCGTGCCAGTAGCCTCACGAATCCTATATCACCCAGTGGCTCTCTGCCTGGCTTCCCTGGCACACGTTGCTGGTCCTGCAGCCGTGGGTCATCCCCCGGGACCTGAGAGCTCCCTGACCCTATGTACTTGAAGTCTGGAAGGTGTCCGGGTCAGGCTGATGGCACTTTTCTTGTCCCATTACCCCGGCATTGCTACCCTGTGGATGCCCCCTGATAGAAAGGTCTAATTATTTTTCTTTTTTGCCTTTGGGTTATTATTTCATACAAATTGTTAAAATTTTACCTGCAGTGGTCAGGTGGATGGCTGCCCAGTGAGCGACCCTGGGTTTGCTGTGCCTCACTCAGTTTCCCCACCTGTGAACAGGGACCGACCATTCAGATGCCTCTGTCTTGGGGCTGTGAGGATTAACTCTGTGACCCAACCATGTGCTTATCACAGTGGCCCAAGGCTCCTTTAAAGGACTGGAGACCTTAGATGAAGGTGGGGACAAAAACCCAATGAAGAGTTAATGTTCTGGAGGCCACACTGATGGAGAGCGACCATTGAACACACACGAATGAGTGGGGGAGAAGAGTGGTCTGGAGAGCTCCTGGTCATGTGGGACACCCTCCAGCTGGACCTCGTTCCCACCCCTCCTGAGGCGGCTGGATTTGGGAACTTAATGTAAAGAATTGAGTGGAACCTTGGCTCATGTGGCTCAGTTGGTTGGGTGTGGTCTGGTGCATGCAGGATGCAGCAATCCATGTTTCTCTCTTTCTCCCTACCCCCACACTCCCTCTCCCTTCCACTCTCTCTAAAAATCTATTAAAAAATCTTAAAAAAATAAAAAAGAATTGAGTGGAAAGCAGACCCCTCCTCAGCCAGGTGGTCAAGGATCAACCTTAGGGTGATATCGAGAGAGAGAAAGAGAGTGTGTGTGTGTGTGTGTGTGTGACCCTGATGGGATGTGATGAAAAAGGCACCTCACCTGGGTGTGCTTTCCTCCAAAAACTATAACCCCGGTATAGTGGGCTCGAAAGATGGGTTCACATCCTAATCAGAATCTCTGATTGGGACCTTATTTGGAAAAATGAACTTTGCAGCCCAGTCATTGTGGCTCAGTGGTTGAGCATAGACCCATGCACCAAGGGGTCACCAGTTCGATTCCCAGTCAGGGTACATGCCTGGGTTTGGGGCTTGGTCCCCAGTAGGGGACATGCAGGAAGCAGCTGATCCATGTCAGTATTTCTCTCATCAATGTTTCTTATCTCTCTCGCTCTCTTCCTTCCTCTCTCTAAAATCAATTAAAAAAGCAAACATATTAAGCCCTGGCTGGTTTGGCTCAGTGATTAGAGCTTCAGCCCTCACACCAGTTGCATCCACCCTCAGTGAGTCACTGGTCCAATCCCAGTCAAGGGCACGTACCTCAGTTTTGGTTTGTTCCCCAGCCCTCATCAGGGTCATATGGGAGACAACCAGTTGAAGTGTCTCACTCACATTGATGTGTCTCTCTCCCTCCTACTTTATCTGAAGATAAATGGAAAAATATCCTCGGGTGAGGATTGAAAAAAACATTAAAAAAAGAAAGAAAAGGGAGCTTTGCAGATGTAATTCAGTTAAGGGTCTCAAGATGAGCTCCTTGTCTGGATGGGCCCTAAACTCAACAATAATGTCAGTATGAGACTTATAGAGGAGAGAGAGCAGATGACTGTGTGATGGCAGAGGTAGAAACCAGGGTGAAGTGGCTACAGGCCCAGGGACACCAGAGCCCCCACAAGCTGGGAGAGGCAGTAGGGGACCCTCCCCTGGGCCTCTGGAGGGATCACGGCCCTTTGACACCTTGAGTTTGGAAGTCTGGCCTCCAGGATTGGGAGAGAATAAATTCCAGTTTGCAGCACTTTGGATAGCAACCCCAGGAACCAGTCTATCCAGTCCAATCAAGAGAAAACACAATAAACCCAGCCTGAGAGATCTGTAGGACATAGCCAGTGTACCTACAGATGGCCCAGGGCATGAATACTAGAGAAAGGTGGAGAAACTTTCACAGCATGGGCAGCCTAAGGGGACAACTACCTGCCGCATGGGCTCCCGGATGGGGTCTTGGGGTGGAAAGAGGATGTAAGTGCCAGAATTGGTGATTTAGGCATAGGCCTGAGACGGACCTTAAAAAGCAGTGAGGGATCTGTAATACATTTTACATCCAACAATAAAGATTTAAAAAATAAATAAAAACATTAAAAAAAAAAAAGCAGTGAGGGAGGGATTAATTTTTTTTTTTTTATCCTCACCGGAGGACATTTTTACATTTTTTGTTCAGATAGAGTGGGAGGGAGAGGAAGAGAGAGAGAGAAACATCGATGTGAAAGGGACATGAGTGGCTGCCTCCCACACGACCCAGCCAGGGCTGGGGACATACTGTAACCGAGGTATGTGCCCTTAGCGGGAATCGAACCTGGGTCTCTCTGGACTGCAGGCTGACGCTCTAACTGTTGAGCCAAACCAGCCAGGGTGGGAGGGATTAATTTTAAGGTGTGCTCTGAATCCACCAGTTCCCGGGGCCCAACTTGGAGTGGTCATG